CTGAATTCTGTTGCAACTGACCTAATACCACGTGCAACGGGGCAAGGGCATCGCAAATAGAGCTGTTTTGTTTTGTCTTTGTTTTGAGACAGGGTATCACCACACAGCCCAGCCCCAACTGCTAGGTAGCCCAGGGTGCCCTCAAGCTTCCAATCTTCCTGCGTCAGCCTTCCGAGTGCTGCAATTACAGGTGTGCACCGTACACAGAGCTTTTCTCAGTGGTGATGCCAAGCTTGCTGCAGCTGCACCCTGGGCATCTCTATGTCCTTTGCTGGCCTCCCCGAATGGATGGCGAGGGGCATGTGCATGCTTCTTCCCCTCTAGACTTTGAGCCAGATGCCCAGCAAAGGGAACAAACAAAATGCTGGTTGGCAGTCTGAGCTGGGAGCAGTGAGTTCCCTGTCACTCAAAGCGGGCAAGGCTGCAAAGGGAGCTCCCTCCTGACAGGACTGGCTACAGGACGCCAAGGCCCTTCTCTGCCTGGCCCAAAGGCCAGGATCTCAGCAGAGCTCAAGGGCCGACCATGAGTTCTTTGCTCCCTTGGGGTGACACAGTGCCCAGGGTTGCTTATGTGACCCTGGGCTTGCTGCTGCCCCGAGCCTCAGTAACTCAGATGGCTCCTCCATCTGTGACCGGCTGGAGGTGAGGAAGAGGTGCAGGCCACGCCCAGGCACTGGTCTCCAATTTCTTCTGGGAATGGAGACCACTCAGGCAGAGCTCCTGGTACCTCTGATCTGAGTGCTCCGTTAGTGTCCATCCATGTCTGGAAAGCTGCCCCGAGGTCATCTTGTTGCTGTGCAGGGAAAGACAAGGTACAAACTCCAGGCACCGAGCAGGGTCCCCAAAAGGGGGAGCCCAGACCCACCCCAGCTTCTCTGGCATGGCCAGGCCACATCCCCTCTGCAGAGAGAGCTGGCACTGGTCCTGGCCCTCTCTTCCTCTAGCTTCAGCTGCCCCGTGCCTGTCTGCAGATATCAGTGTGACAGGCCGACTGGCCAGATGCTCCGGTCCCCAGGCTGGGGGCCCTTTCTCCATGACCGCACAGCCCCCGTGTTCTCTCTCTGCCTTGCATTGTGCTAGTATCATCTGCACTTGAGCCCCTGGCCCTGGCTTGGCAGAGACACTGCCACAGTTCTCCCATGATCACAGGAGGTGAGAACCTGGGCAGCGAGTCAAGCCAGGATCGGGGGCTCGAGCGGCACTCTGGGGGACTCCTCAGGGCCAAATGCCAGCCCTGCCCATTCTGATCGGCACCAGCTGGGGCCAGCTGCTCAGCCTCTCTGTCTCAATTTCCTTGTCCTTTTTTTTTTTTGGTACCAGGGATCGAACTCAGGACCTTGTGCTATCGAGGCAGGCTGTGGAACCATTAAGCTAAATCCCCAGGTCCAGCTCTCTTCTTATCAGTGAGAAGGACAAGGGCAGGCTGTGCAGGAGGAGGAGGCTAGGGACAGACAGCGACATCTCTATGGGCAGCAGAACGGCCAGGCAGCGACAAGTGGAGAGACAAGAGAAGCAGAGGTTCGGAGTGACTCTGGCCAAGGGCTCCTGCTCTGTTCAGCCCTCCTTGGGCCCCTGCTCTGGAACGCTGTCCCGGCCCAATCCTATGGGTGCAGTACCATGAGGACACATTTGTCCTTGGGCTGGGGGAAGCCATGTTCTCCAGCAGGGCTGTGGCACCCAGGGCAGGGCCCAATCTGCCCACTGCCTGACTCTGGGCTGAGAATCCCAGGTAGGGGACCTCAGCATCCACCCTCCTGTGTGGGACACACAGACAGGACCTCACACTCTGCCAGAAAAAACTTGGTTTTCCTGCCTCCTGGCCCAGGGGCCCAGGACAAGGAGAGAAGGACCTAGGCATGCCCGGGTCCAGCTGGGCTTCCTGCCACCATAGCCAGAGAAGGCTCAGCGGCTCCTCCCCATCTCACTACCCAGATCCTCCCCCAAGCAGGCCGAAGAGAACATTCCCCAACTTACAAGCTGGATGGGGTGTCCTGGGGGACCCTGCAAAAGAAGACTTGGGGTCAGTGTTGGGTGGGGACAGGCCCAGCTACCATCTGGTCTCTGTTCTCCTGGAGGGCTGGCTGTCCCGGGTCTACAACCTTCCAGAAGGCTGTGACCTCTAAGAAGCACTTGAGGCCTGTAAGACTCAGGGTCTGTCTGCAGACAAAGCCATTCGGGAGCCCTCCTCCTGCCCGGGGCTCCATGATGCCCAGCACGCAGTTACCTACCGGTGGCCCGGGCTGCCCTCTCCGGCCAGGAGGACCCTGGAGGAAGAGGAGAAGATCGTGAGGGCCAGGACAGCAAGTGCCTGCTACCTGGCCACCGCAGGCCCTACCCAGGGAGCCCGAGACGTAGGGATGACGGCTCCCCCATGCTGAGGGTACAGATGGGAAGAGTGGGGTCCAAAGCGGAAGGGGAAATGTGGGGACATCTGTCATCGTGGAGGAGAACCCAGAGTGCCACCCCTGTCCCCACCTTGCCCCACTCACCTTTGGACCTTGCAGTCCCTGGCAGAAGATACAAGTGGGAAACAGAGTTAGGGGGCCTGGGCAGAGCCATGGCCCCAGAAGAACCCACCCCACCTCACCCCACAAGACAGCCCCAGCCCCTCTACTCACCCAGCCCCCTCGGCTGCCTTTGTCACCCTTCCGACCCTGCAACAAAATGCAGACAGGGCTCAGAGGGGAAGTCTCATTTTCCAGACGGGGAAACTGAGGCTTGGACCAGCCCTGGGCCACAGAGATGATCTGGAACTGGGAGGACAAAGACACCCGGCAGCCCTCCTCCCCACCCCTGCACGTACCGGGAGTCCCGAGGGTCCCAGGCTTCCGAGGGGCCCAATGATGCCTTCCTTCCCCTAGAGGAGAGAGACGGGGTCTGGGGACAGGGTCGGGGAGACATGTGTCCAACCGGCTGAGGGCTGGCCAGCCTCGGGGCGACTGTCCCTGCTGGGGCACGGAGGAAGGACTCACCATCAAGCCAGGAGGCCCCCGGGGGCCCTGGATGCCTTTGAAGCCGATGTCACCAGGGGGACCCTGTGGGGAGCAAAGGGAGCTGCTGGGCCCTGGGGGAGAGGCGCTGCCGGAGGGTCCTCAGGAAGAGAAACCGAAGCCCCCAGTTATTTAGCAATACAGCTGTGCACCATGCAGTGTACACCTCTGGTCTTGATTCTGTCAAGATCTTCCACTCTTATTCCTCCCATTTGGAAATCAAGGTTTAAAGAGACCGCCAGACAGGCCTGAGGCGCGGAGCAGGTAACTGAGCAGGCCGGGAGCCTCAGTGCGTGGGAGGGAGGAAGAACTGGCCGGTGGCTCAGGCCCGCTTCCAGCTGTGTTTCAGCCCACACTGAGAGTTTGTGGAATGAAGAAATGCATGAATGAGAGGGTGGGTGGGGACCCCACAGGGGCAGGCACAAGCAGGGGTCCGCCATACCTTGGGTCCGAAGAGGCCGGCCACGCCGGGAAAGCCTGTTTCGCCAGAGTCGCCCTGCAGGGACAACAGCAGTCCATGGGGAGGGTGGAGCAAGAATAGGGGTGCCCCACGCCCTGTGCCAGGGACGAGGGACACTCAGGAGTTCCTGCCCCAGGCCTTCAGGGAAGACAGGGGAAGGACCCACAACCCCCAGCAGTCCAGTCCGAAAGCTCCACGGAGGAACGATCCCCTAAAAGCAGCCCCCATTCATGAGGGTCTGCTGTGTCTTGAGGCTGAGCAAACATGTTCCCCCGTCTCCCCAAGGAGATGCTATTTAGAGACTCCCAGAGGGCAAGAATCTGCTCAGAGTCACAACGGACTCCACAGCGTGCACACCCTGGACTCACTCACCGGCTGGCCTTTGGAGCCCAGCTCCCCCTGGGTCCCAGGAAGTCCCGTTCCACCCTCTGTCCCCCGCTTGCCAGGAGGACCCAGCTGCCCAGGAAATCCACTTTCACCCTGAAACAAATACACCAAAATGACCAGTCAAGGGGGAGAGTGGTTCTGGGTCCCCTGAAGTCTCAGGATGTCTCGTGAAGAGGGAAGTCTGGGGGTGGCTGGTCCATGCCTGAGCCTCCTGAAGACGTCTCCTTTCTTACCCTGCACCACAGGCCCTCTCCCACACTGCCTCCCTCTTTGTTTCTCCCCACCCAGGCCCTTCAACGAAGGAAGCCTGACACCAGGAGCCCCCTGGCATCTGTTGTTGTACAAAGGCCCACAAGAGGGCGCGCGTGGACAACACAGCAGCAGTGGATGTTTCTGTGGCCTGGTAGGGGGCAGTATTTACAGCTGGGTCAAGATCGGGGCTGGGACCCCCGAGGAAGATCAACAAGGTGAATTTCATTTTCACCAGTCCCAGGACAAACAGGGAGGAGGACGGGCAGGTAGATTAAGAAGCCTCTGACCTTGAATCCCGGGGGCCCCTGTGTTCCAGGCAAGCCAGCCACACCTGGATTTCCTCTCCTCCCGGCAGGCCCCAAGGGGCCAGGGTCCCCATCATCTCCCTGCTCTCCCTGTAAAGAAAGCAGGCAGAGGTGGTGGGGTGGGATATGTCTTGGGTTGCAGGAGGCGGGGTGGAGGGACACAGTGGAGGGAGGGAGGTGACACCCAGCCTTTGCAAGATGTCTGGGCCCAGGGGCAGGAGCAGCTGAGGATCTGTGAGTGGGGACAGGAAGGAGTTCCAGCCACACACGGGCTGGGCTCAGGCTCGGCGACCTTCGGGTGCTGCACTCCCAGGTCCCGAGGGATGAGGGGACCGTCCTCCCGGGCATGCCAGGCAACGTCTCCACGTTGGCTCTGCCTCACCAGTTTTTCAGCCTGCTTCTCTGGCCAGCAGCCTGTGGCAGTCCCCCCACACCTGTCCCAAACGCAGACCTCCTCCACCGCCCTCAAGCCTGCTCACCTGCTGTCCTGCTCGACCATCCCCGCCAGGAAGCCCGTCCGGTCCAGCGGCACCCTCAGGGCCTTGCCTCCCCACCAGGCCCCGAGGCCCCGGCAGCCCCTGCAGCCCCTGAGGGCATAGAAGAAGTGGGGTGAGAGCTTCGGGGAGGACAAGGGCTGGTGGGAGAGCAGCAGCGTGCCACTCACCTGGATGCCCCTCCGGCCTGGTGCCCCAGCCTTGCCTGGCCTTCCCTTTGGGCCCTGGAAAAACAAAAGCAAGGCCAATGTCAGAGGCTGCCCGGAGGAGGAGCGGACTCCAGATGAAGGTGGCCCTTGGTGAGTGTCAGGCCCCACAAGGGGTCCAGGGTCAGGGCCACCGGTGAGGTCAGCCACTGCTGACCCTGTGCTGCTGAGTCCTGTGTCACCTCTCCGGGCCTTGCTGTCAAGCCCTGGGTGGTGTCTTCAGTCAGACGCGCTCAGGACTGGCCAGGCCATCGACTGAGAGTGCGGCCCGAGGGGCACGGTGGGAGGTGCACTTGGGCAAGAGGTGCAGGGGCCTAGGGCACCTCGGCCCTCTCCTCTCCCTGCAGACCCCTTGGCTCTGTCTCTAGCTTCTCTGGCTCTGCAGGGTGTGACGGCAGATGGAGAAGCCGGGGGTCTCTGGGCCCTGACCGCCCTGGGTCCCAGTCCCAGTGGCTGACCTCCCACAGGCGGGTCCCTGCCTGGAGCCCCTGCAGAGTGGGCCACAGGGCTCGTGGTGGAGGGTCTGTTCCCTCCCAGCCCCGCCTTCACTCGCTGTCTCTCTCCCTCCCCAGGCCTCAGTTTCCCTGGTGGGCAGCCAGCCCTTTTACCTCTTCGCCTTTTGATCCTTTGGGTCCTGGCCGCCCCCGGGGTCCCAGATGCCCCTGCAAACCAAGGTGAGATGACGTAAGGCAGCCCCAGGATTCTCCGCCTGGAGGGGGAGGGTGGGAAGGGGTTTGGGGGTGCAGGCTCTAGGGCCGCCCCCAGGTCGGGGCAGGAGAGACCAGAAGGGGCTCCCTTTCGGGGCCTCCTGCAAGGAAGGTCCCTTTCAGTACCAAAGGGCCCGATCGGCTCTTCAATCATCCCTGCTCCACCCACTTCCGGGCAGGAGGCCAGGAGAGACCACTCACGGGTTGGCCCTGCTGGCCAGGCTTTCCACGGAGTCCATGCACACCCTCCTGTCCCTGGAAAGCAAGGGAGACAGGTGAGGGGCCGCCCTGGAGGGGCCGGGGCCAGGGTGGAGCTGGGAGTCCCATGTCGCCGCCTGCTCTGAGCCTCAGCTTCCTCGTCTGCAAGACAGTGAGGCAGTGACGCCGCCAGCACACCGCGGGGGAGGAAGGGCCGAGCCCGGCAGCCCCGTGGCTGGCAGCAGAGCTGTTCCTGCCACTGACGGGATGTGCGGCCCTCGGAGGGGAAGGGCTGCTCAGGACCACGCTGGGGACTGTCGGCCGACACAGGCACAGAGAAATCAGGCCTGGCTTCTGGCCTGGGCAGTGCAGTGCCCTCCCAGGACATGGCCGTCCTGCCAGGAGGGGAGGCTCCATACTTACAGGGTATCCAGGGTCCCCAGGCTCCCCTCGGTCTCCTCGATGGCCCATGGGGCCCTGAATGACAAGGACAACAGTAAACTATGGCACATACCTCCTCGGGGCTCTCTGAGGCCTCCCCTGCCCACTTGGCAGGAGGGCCGGGCTCCACGGGACCCCATCCCGCCCCAGGGACAGAAGGGGCCTTACCCGATCTCCCGGAGGCCCAGGGGGGCCCTCGGCCTTGCCGTCCTCACCCTGTTCTCCCTGTGGACACAGAGCCAGCTTTAGTTTTGCTTCTGTTTGTTTTGATTTTCTGAGACAGGGTCTCGCTATGCAGTTAGGTTGGCTTTAAACTCACTACATAGGCCCAGGCCGGCCTCAAACTCCAGGAGATCCTCCTGCCTCAGCCTCCTGAGTGCTGGGATTGCTAGCGTGCATGACCACACTCCACAGAACCAACTTTAGAACAAGTCACCCATCCTGGGGAACTGGGGAGTCCAGGCTGGGAAGGGCTTCCTTCAGAAATGAAGTTCAGCCTTGGGAGGGTAGTAGATGGGGAGAGGCAGATCAGGAAGAGAGAGGGAGGCGTGCGTGTCTGAGCGGACCCAGGTGTGGAGCCAGGATCTTGGAGCACAGACAGTGCTCTCTGTTCTCCACCCGCAGCCCTGGGACTATGCCCCTCTCATCTCTGAGCTGCTTTTCTCGGCTGGGTTGGGGGGGCAGTGAAGGCACAATGGGTGGTGCGTGTGGAGGAGCAGGTAGGAGTCCGAGCCACAGTGGCTGGCAGGTGGCATGCGTGGGCACTGCCCAGCTGGATGCAGGCACTCACTGAAGGCTTCCGGCAGCCCTCGTTACCCCCATCTCACAGAGCAGGTACAGGGAGGTGACGGCAGCGTCTGGGTGACTCAGTGGAAGTCCCTTTCTCACCGTGGGACACACTTCCGCCCCTTGCTGGGTGCTCCGGAAGAGGCAGGGGCTGCCCCAAGGCGCATGAGCAGCAACTGAGGGTCTTGTCCAAGGGAAGAAGCTGAAGGACAGGCCTGTCGGCCCCAGAGGGCGCTGCTGCCCCTCACAGACAGCTGTTCAGACTGCTGTCCTTGTAGTGGTAACAGCAGTGACCACACGTCCCATGGATGTGGCCAGGGGCACAGTGAGGAGGGACAGAGTTTAGCACTGAGACCCTGGGGACACCGTAAGCCCTGGCCTGGGGCAGGACAGGGGGCTGGATGCCTCTGGCCAGCACAAGGAAGGTGTAAGTGGGCGAGCCCAGGGCAACGGGCTCAGGGTGCCAGCCCCCCAGACTGGTGCCAGCTCCTGGGGGTTCCTTTCTAGGCAGGGGCTCAAGCCAGGGGATCCTGGCCGCCTGCAGAGCTTGAGGGAGGCCCAAGGCAGTAGGGCAGGGAATGGTGCCGGGCCAGTGAGTGGAGGGCTGGTGGCCGAGGCCCTTGGCTCTGAGCTCTGTGGCTCCTGTGGGTAGTGGCTGCACAAAAGCAGGCTCAGCCAGGGGCCTAGAACCAGCTGTACCCAGGGGGGCGGCTGCACTCTGGTCCCACCGCGGAGGGCGGCAGGGGTCTAGGGGCCTGTGGGGCAAGGTGCCAGTGTTTATCTGGCATATTCCTTGTGCTGGACACGTGGTGAAGTTTGTCTCACAGTGTGTCACAAAATCTATACAGCAACCTATGCTGCTGTCCCACTTTACAGATGGGGAAACTGAGGCTCGAGGAGGAAAGGGTCTCAGTTAAAGCCACTCAGGAATCAAGGGCCAAAAGGAACTCTCCAGAGCACCCCAGCACACACCTAGCCAAGGTGGCCTCAGGTTGGGGTGCATTTTTAATACTGGAAAGCCACTCCCCAGACCTGCTGTCAGAGTCACATCCCTCCCGTTCGTTGCCACCTCCTCGTGGACCTGTGTCCCATGGTGGGAGGCACTCTGGCTTCTCAGTCGGGGCCTGGTTTTGGCTAGGGGTGCAGGGCCTGGTGTCGGACAGACAGTCTGCATCCTGGCCCTGCCACTGTCCTGCTGGTCCCAAGCAAGTCCAGGACCCCGGGGAACTCAGTCCCCAACTCCCACCCCACCATGCGGAACAGTGACACCTTCGTGCCCGGGTCACGGTGAGGAGTAAGGGAGAAGTTCAGGGACAGAGCAGGCGCGCTCCTGTGTTTCAGTAGGTGGTCCCCAACCCGCCCTAGCACCTTCCACTTTGTGGTTGGCTGTTCATCGGGCGACTACAACAGCTGTGCACCACATGACGCCATTTCCACCCTGAAGGGGGCGCCTAGTGACAGTGGTGGCTTCTGGGCTTGCTCCTGGTCCCTTCTGAGCCAGCCCAGGGGACTGGCGGCACTTCCTGCAGGCTGGGCAGAACTTGCAGTGCTTGGGGCAGATCTGCACTCCGAGCAGGGACCGGCCGGCCGTAAGGGGCATGCGTGCGTCAGGCCAGGCGGCGTGACTCGGCCCCAGCAGGGCTGACTTAGTGGGGCACTGACTCAGCAGAAGGCAGGAAGCCTGGGGAGGCTCAGGGACCAGGCACTGGGCAGCCTGCTGGGAGGCATCCTTACTGCTGAGAGGTTGAGGGAGGAGGAGAGGAAGGGAAACTCGGAGACCTGGTTTCAGTGTCACTGGGCGCTGTCTTTGGACGTGACCCAGGCACCCCCTGCACGGGAGAGTCCCCAACCATCCGGGTTCCTGACAACTCCTTTCCTGTCCAAAGCCTGGAGCCCAGGTGGGGGCGGGCGTCCCCACTGGGCCTCCGCACTCTCCAGTCCCCTCCTCTCCCCCACTGCCTGGTGTCATCTGTGTGCAAGTCTTCCTTTCCACGTTCGCGTAGACAAGGGGTGACCCGGTCGTCCCATGGCTGACGTCATTTCTCCTGCGAGCCTAACTGGAGACTGCCCCTGACCCTGCCCTGGGCACGAAGATGACCCCCTCGCAGAGTGATGGCCGCAGTCCCACAGCTCCTGCCCCAAGGACCCCAGGTGTGCCTTCCCGCTGAGCCCAGACCAGAGGGGCAGCTGCCTTTCCAAGTTGGAACACCCACCTTCTCGCCTTTTGGTCCGGGAGGCCCGAGGGGTCCCACAATGCCTTTGTGTCCCTGCAGGCAAACAAGATGGAGAGGAGAGGAGGCATGAGGACCCAGGAGGGCAAACGACAAGTGGGGACACCAGGCGGTACAGCAGGGTCCCAGCTCTGACCCAACCTTCTGTGTGGTTCTGAGCATTGCTTCCAGACAAGCCCTGCAGCAGACACATCTCTCTGGGTATGCTAGCTTGGACGGCCAGCCCTTCCCAGGGAAGGCAGGGACAGGAGCAGGACAGATGCCACCTCAAGGGGGTCCCTGGGCGCCCCGATGGGCTGAGCTCCTCTGTCCCTCAGGGGGTCCCTGCAGCTCTGGGTAAGGCAGATGGAGCTCACTTGGGACAGCGCTGTACCTGTCTCCCCAACCCGTCCCATCCTTGGCCCCTACCGCCACCCTCAGGGGTGGGCCCAGGAGCTCCCTGGCACAGAGGCGCTGAATCTTTGGGGCACCGGGGTGGCCCTTAGCTGGGGGTGGCTGGGGGAGCTGAGGCTGCGGGACAGTGTTCCAGAGAGGGGAGGGAGACTTCCTCAAGGCAGCTTCCGCTTACGTTGTAACCAGCCAGTCCCGGTTCTCCTTGGACCCCCATCCGTCCTGGAGCACCCTAGGGGGAGGAGTCCCCGTCGGTATGGAGTGGGTGTCCCAGCCGGGACCCTCTCCCCAGGCACCAGCCCCACCGGCCCTTCCTTGTCCCTGCTCGTAGGACTTTCAGGAGCTGCTTAAACAGAGCCCTGATGACAATTTAAAGTTTACACACTTATGGCTACATCAGTGTCGTTTAGAACGAATAGGCTCCAAGCTCCTCCCTCTGAATCCTTTCCCTCCATCCTACTCTGGCCTGTGCTCAGGAGGTCGCTTGTGTCCAGGGCACCCAAGGGGTGAAGCACTGTCTCACAGAGCGCCCCGGTCACCAGCTCCCAGCTCACACCCACAGTGGCACATGGGTAGCAGGAAGCAGCCACGTGGAAGCATTTACACCGAGGGAGCAACGATGGCCATACCCCATGGCTGCGTCACTGCCCATAGCCACCTCTGGGATGCCACATCAGCCTCCTCTTGCCTGCCCCGGCCTCGCTAGGCTATGACCCTGCAGCTGTCATACCCCTCTGGGTTCTTTTCTTCAGGGAGCCCAGAAAGGCCTTGGGACAGCCCTGGTGTCATCGAGTGGCTGGCAGCACTTGGCCTGGTCCTCCTGGATCTATCTCCAGGAGGAAAACTCCTTGTTGGATAAAAACACCCCCAAAGGCCTGGCACCTCCCTCACCCCTGCCGCATAGCAGGACTTTATTAACCCGGGACCCACAGATCCCTTCAATCAGCAAGGACTGCTCCTCTGTGGACTCGAGCACCCCAGGACTGCAGCTTTCTGCAGGTTCCCACGGGGACCCTGGAGTGGCACAAGGTGGCTGACATGATGAACAGCGGGTGTGCAGCTCACAGTTGGGCCCGGTGCCTCCCTCCCTGCCCAGGCCCCTGCCAGCCTACCCGAACTCCCACACCGTGGCCAGAGGCCTCACCGTTGGTCCCAGGCTGCCCCGGGAGCCTTTGGGGCCTGGGGTGCCAGGGGCTCCAGAGTCTCCAGGGACGCCCATCTCACCCAGCTGTCCGGGGTGGCCCTTGGCACCCTGCAGGGGAAAGAGGCTGTCACCGGGCTGGCAGAGGCAGGGTGGGGACAGGGCACCATGTGGCACGGGGCACCCACCTTGGCTCCCATCCGGCCCTTCTCGCCTTGCTTCCCTGGTTTTCCTTCGGGACCCTGAAGGGAGAGAGGGGCAAGCTGAGAGCGGATCCAGGCAGATCCAGGAAGCATGAGGCTGCTGGCCCTGGGCTCCCAAACAGATGCCGTGACCTGGTTCCCGTGTGGCCCTGAGTGTGACACGATGCCCCATCTGAGCAGCGGGACAGCGCCCCACGCCTCTGCCAGAGCTGAGGATCCAGCTCCAGGGTTGGAGCGGACTTGCAGGCCCAGGGCCTGGCCACAGTGAGCGCTGCCCCTGGGATGGGTGGGGGAGGGGCTCTGCTGTCATCATGGTTACCGCCGCCAAGGGGCACACTCGGGACAGCTCCCTGCAAATCACCTGCCACCTTCTTCTTCTCTGACAGGCTCCTGTGCCCCTCCCCACAGGCACTCCAAAATGTAGCCCTGGCCAGCGGAGAGAGGTTTGGCTTTGTCTCCACAGCTGTCAGGGAAACTGCTCAGTAGCGGTGGGTGAGTATGCATGTGAGTGTGAGATACAGAGACAGAGAAAAGAGAGTGCCATCCCTCGGGCCACCAGGTTGGGATGTACTAGGGGTAGGGCAGGCAGTGTGTCTGGTTTGGAAGGGACTTTCTGACTTTGAGCCTTGAAGGAGTTGGGAAGAACATTTATGCTTTTGACAAGCTTGTTTGATTTAATCCCTCTGGTTGCATTAACAGAGGCACAAACTATAGGATGAGGGAGGTGATGGTCCCATCACCTGACTACCTGTGACGGAAGAGGGGTAGGAAGGGGCAGTTGGTCCTAGACTCCCGTCTGCAGATTTCTGAAGCCAGGTGCTCTGGGTGGTCAGTGCCTGGGAATCACAGGAGGCCAGCTTTGATGCAACACAAGACAGAAATGTCTGCTACGAAAGAACATGGAACTGGGTATGGGAGAGCACGACTCTGCACAGCAGCCCTCAGGGAGAGGGGACTATGGCCCTAGAAGGAGCCAGGCACAGACTGCCACATCCTGCTGCTTGAGTCCTCGTGTGACCCTGACCAGTCCCCTGGGCCTCAGTCTCCCCAGCTGGATTAGAAAAGTCTTAGACCAGCCCCTCGCTCCCCAGTTGGAGGCCTTGAACCATGGCCACTGTGACCAGGAAACTTAATTCTTCACGTTATTTAACTTTGATTTGGAAAGCTCACGCTGAATTCGGTTACTGGTGGACACTTTTAAGTGTATGCTTGAAACAACTTAGGTTTATGGACCTACATTTTCAACTGTACATTTTATGAAGTCTTAAGTACAGATCAGGTCTTTCTGGTGAAAATTAATATCTGAATTGAGATGTGTTGTGAGCATAAATGACACATCAGATCTAAAAGGTTTAGTACCGAAAAGAGAATGGGGCCAGGCGTGGTGGCACATGCCTATAATCCCAGCATGCAGGAGGCTGAGGCAGGGGGATCCTTGTGAGTTAAAGGCTGGTCTGGGCTACATAGTGAGTTCAAGACTGGCCTGAACTACCTAGCAAGACTCTGTCTTTAAAAAAACCCAACCCCACGGTGCCTGCCTCGCAAGGGCAAGGTTCTGAGTTTGATCCCCCGTACCATAAAAAAAAAAAACAAACCAACCTCCCCAAAAGAAAATAGAATGGAAAAGCTCAAAATAATGATTTTTAATACTGATTACATGTTGAAATCATATTTTGTATCTATCAGGCTAAATAAAATGCATTGTTAAAATCAATCTCACCTATTTCTTTGTACCTTTTTAAAACGTGTCTACTAAGTTTTAAATTCTTGTATTCTGTTTCCCCTGCCAGCGCTGGACTAAGTGACCTCAAGGTCTCTCGATTCTTCCATCGTAAAATATCAGCCACCATGACCTTCACGGCGGCCCACATCCACACCCCACATGGACCCTCACCGGATTCTCCCGGGTGTCAGGAGGTAGGAGCTATTTATCCATCCTACCGCAGGGCTAAAGAAACCAAAGCTCCCAGAGACGACCCAGCCTGGCCGGGCAGTGCCTGGAGGACCCACAGGCCAGGCCAATGACACAGGGCTGGTGGATTGGCCGGTGGACCGGGGTGACCCCAGGGGTGGACAGACCCAGGATCCAGGGTTGGGGACAGGAGACTGGGCCTCCCCAGAACGGGGTGCTGCCAGTCCCGACGGTTCTCCCTGAAGGGGACCCTGAGGACCATGGTGGGAGCACCCCGGGGGCGGTGGTGGCTGGGATGGAGACTGGCAGGACACAGTCATGGATCACACAGTGATGAGGACGTGAGCTGAGAAACGCAGCGCCTGGCACCTCAGAGTGCACTCACTTACTCACAGGGGCCTCTGACATTTCTAGGCGACAGCATCTAGGGCAGTGATGGCGAACCTTTTAGAGCTTTCATTGATAACAAACGGCAGGCCATGGCAAGGGTGCCATAGATTCGCCACCACTAACCTGGGGGACCTGGGGCTGTGTACGCATGGCATGTCGCTGACCACATGGGGACGTGTGTGCATCGCTCGCTGCAGATGCATTTCTGCAAAGGCCCCGGGTGGCTTATAAAATTCTATTTTTAAATACTCAACTGTTTCCCAGACAAACACTGGGAGGTCTTTGTCCTACAGTCCTGCTGCCAAAGAGACTCAAATGCAAGCCCCTCACTGTCTCCGTTACCTGACACACACGCAGGCTGCCCCAGATGCTCTCTCCCATCCAGCAGATGAGAACCGTGCATGACAGCAAAATACCAGCATCAACACTGCTTCCACCACCAAGGCCACCACCGTCAGCATCACAAGCCCGGCACTGCCTCTGTCATATCACCACCACCCGTTCCGGTCACCCCTCCCCCAGGCTCATAAAGACAATCTTTTACATTTCTACTGCATTCCTATTTCTTATTTCTTTGCAGATGAGAAATCCAGGGCTCAGAAAAGGGGAGTAATTTGCCCTAAGTCAGAAAGTGTGGATTCTCTTGCAGGAACCTGGACTCAACCTTTAGACTCTGAGATATCTTCCAAAGACATTTCTGCCACTGTTACTACCCATTCTACAGTTGAGACTCAAAACTCACTAAAAAGGGGTCCTTGGAATGTTGGAACTCAAAGTGATCTTATGTGAGCCTTAGCACACATTCTTTCCACCTTTTTCATCATACCAAGGGCAAGACCAGAGAGGGCGAGAGGCAAGTGAAAAGTCACACAGCAAGTTACCGATGGAGAATCGGGGCTAGGCCCCTCCTGCTAAATTCCCTCTGGCCCATTTCCCTGTGGCTGAGTCAAGCCTGGGGAAGCCTCCAGCAAGGCAAGTCTGACCGAGCGCCCGTGTTCCTCTCTGGCTCATGATGAGCTCATTCTCTTACAGCTGCCCAGAGGATTAGCACTTTATTCTATTTTTAGGAAACAAACATTTTCCCACAACTGGTTTGTTGCAGGCTAATTTGGATCCACCCCAGATTACTCGTTTCTACACTGGAGGAGTGAAAATGAACGTCATGAGCAGGCCTGGATAGACGGGGGTGCTGGGCCCAGGTCCCAGATGCAAATCTCTCTGCTGGGGGCAGGAGGAGGAAGACCCCAGTGCTGAGGCCAGGCCCCACCTGCCCCCTCCGTGCAGGACGCCCTCGGGCTGCAAGGTGCCTGGTCCTCCCGGGTGACACACATCCAGCTCAGATTCGGGGACCTACCAGGGGCCTGCCACGAAGTCAGGATCCACGCATCAGTCAAATACTAGAAACAGCTCGGATGTAGGGCCTGGGTTCCAGCTGGGTCAGAGCAGAGGCCAAGAAGTGCCAACTCAAGCTCCAGCCCTGCCCATTCTTACTGTGTGAGTCTGGGCAGGTTCCTTGACCTCTCTGGTCTTCCCAGTCCCCAGGGGTTGCTATCAGTACCAAAGAGGAGCACGCTGGAGGGCACTGGTATCCACAGACACTGAGACAGGACATTTCTTCTCCACATCCCTCAAGGGCAGGGACCCCATTCACCCTTCTGCCTCAGGGACCTGGCCAGGAGACACTGTTGGCGTCTTTGCACAGGCTGAGTAGATTCCTCTAGGGTGGAAGAGCAGAGCTTCTCTGACTGCCTTCTCACTCAGTAGAGTTTGGTCACCTTGGTGCCTGGCCCCAGCTGGGTGGTAAAGACATCAATGTAAGCCAGTCAAATCCTAGGCTCAGTGGGGCCAGATATGCACAGGGTTCTGCATCCTCCTGGGGCTCAGGGCCCAGCATGGGACCAGGGATGGCATTCTAGGCTGAGTGATGGCTGTGGGGACAGCTGAAGGCCAAGTGGAGTGAAGCAGGTGACAGGGGAGGAAGAAGGGAAAGACTCAGATACACAGCATGTGCAAAGGCCCGGGAGTGGAGCAGGCCTGCCCGAGGACTCCAGAACAGCTCGGTGTGGCAGGGAGGGGCCAGGTGGGGGAGGCTGGGAGGCTGAGCAGGGCGGGGCACTGGTTGGTGCTGCGTTGAACTTGAGGGTGAAACAAGGTCCACCACGTTTTTGGTGGCGGCTGTCAAGAGCTCCCGCCCAGCTGCCCTAGCAGGCGTGAGTGTCCCCTCCATCCCCAACTGTACTCACCCGGATGCCAGTGATGCCAGGAGGCCCAGGGTGCCCGTCCTCGCCCTTCAGCCCTTCCTGGCCTTTCTCACCACGTTCACCGTCAGGCCCTGGGTCCCCCCTGTCCCCCTGTGTCAGAAGGCCAGGAGGAGCAGAGAGAGGGGAGTACAGATGAGTCACCAGGTCACAAGTGCCCCAAGCCCCAGGGCTGCATGGTGTCCACAGCCACCCACCCTGGGTTCCTCGACAGCTCTCTGAGCCGCCCTGGGAAACATCAAAGCCATGAGGACTTTCCCTGTCCCTGCCTTCACTGGGGCCAGGCCAGGGCTCAGAGAAGCCACAGTGCTGACACCACCTCCCCAGGAGTCCCCTGAATGGACCAGGTTTGGAGACAGTTGTTTTCCCAAGTTAGACATGCAGGGAGGACAGGAGCGGAGTGAGACTCAGACTGAGTTAGAAGATGCGCCCCCATGGCCCTCAGAACCAGCTGCATTTGCTTCTCTGAGGTGCGTCTGCAGCCCTTGCTCACATGGCCCTAGTTAGAGTAATACCGGTGACAAAGACTAAGCCAGGCTGTGACGGCCATGTCCAGGCCTGCAGCACAGAGGCCGCCCTTCTCAGACCATGCAGCTGGTTAGCGGAAAACTCCAGCCCAAAGGCCTGGTGCACTACTGTGCACCGCCCACCTTCCTGCTGCCTGTGTGAGCCATGGGGACCTTGCTGTCCTGCTGCTGCCTCCCCTGCATGCCACCACCCCCTCACTGTAGGACAAGCAGACGGCACCCACATTAGCACAGCACCCCCTTGGACTCAGCCAATTTTGGGTCTTTGGGCATGGATCAGACTCGATCCTCACAGAAGCCTTTCAAGGTAGAGCCTCTTTCTGTCCTGTTTTACAGATGAGGAAACTGAGGCACAGCTGAGTTAAGTCATTTGGCCTAAAGGCTCTCAGCTTGTAGAGGAGTTGGAGTTGGCAACAGGGGCTTGGACACCTGGCCGATTCCCTCAGAGAATAAGCCCAAAGGATGCATGCGGGCTCTTGTGGTTCTCCATGACAGCTGGCTTTGCAAAGGTTTTGGAGAAACCAACTCTATATATGGAGCTCCCTCCCTCATTTGTCACCTCCCATGTTCCTGGGGACCACAGAAGGGTTGGGCTCCTGCAGGGTGGGATGTGGGCTGCTTCCCTGGGCACTAGGGCAGAGCAGGAGTGAGGGGTGCAGCTTGGGCAGCGTCCATCCGAAAGCCATCTCCTGCCAGCTGGCAGGCCTGGTGGCCTTGGGCAAGTTTGCAATGGCTCAGTGGTAACAGGCCAGGAGGCTGGAAGAAGGGCAGGGCATGGAGTCACATGAACAAGGAAGGGACAGATCATGGCAGCAGGCTGGGAAAAGCAGTGTGGCTTTGCCAGTTTTGTTTCCCAGTGTTACACTTCACAAGGGATGCAGATAACTCATGTGCAGAGAGAGAGAGCAGCATGTAGAGGGCCCAGAGCAGGAGGCTGGTGCTTGGCCTGCTCGAGAAGAAGCTGGAGAACATGACCACTGTGAGCTCATCCCTGCACCCAGGGGCAGTGGCAGGGCACTTTCCAGCTCAGCCTAGGGACACAGATCACACAGCTGGGGGAAGGGTTGGTGCAGAGCAGGTCTGAGCACCAGGTGGGCTTCTGAGGTCCCATCCCACTGTGACTCTCAGGGTCCAAGAACAGCCTGGCACGAAGACAGGGGCCTGACTCCAGAGCTCTGCTCCTGGCTTGTCCACTTGGCCACTGGCTGTCCTGGCTCTCAGAGGAGGGTGCTCCCAGCAGCAGGGCTGGGTTTCAGGGACAGGCTGAGCTCCAGGGATGGCCAGCCCCCCAGTCCACAATCTGGGCTGCCACAACAGGGTGTGGCTGCTTGTGGATCCCATGCAGAATGGGTTCTGGGGGTGCCCAGACACCCCAAATCCTGGGATGCCTGCCAATGCTCCAAAGAGCCCTGGCAGTTGCCTGGCTCAAAGCTCTCAGTTTACACGTGGGAAAAAGTGAGGGCCAAAGAGAGGTGGAGACTCCATTACAGGGAGAACCCAGGCTCTGCCCCTTCCGATGTCGATGACCTGTGCTCCCCATCCTTGGCTCATGCTCCCTAAGTATTCCGACTGCTATGGCCCTGGGCAGTTTCCTCATTTGTGAATAAGGATCCAAGGGCATTGTAAGGCCTGAAGGAAAGAAGCCCTGTAGACAGCTTAGCCCAGTGCCTGGCAATGCGCACTGCTTATAAGAGAGTGATTATAGGTCACTGTGTCACTCTCACCATTGCCACCAAGAGATGACAGAGAGATGTTGGGCAAGAAGCACCCTACAAACTTTAAAGTGCTGCACACGTCCAAGAGGTAGTTTTCACTGCGAGGTGACTGCATAAAGAAAACAGTCTCTCCCAGGATTCATGGGAGGCCCAGGGACCACACAGGTGCACAGCACCTGAGCGACTCCTCTGGTCCAAGTAAGAGGACAGAATGGGTTTGAGGGAGCAAAAAGGGGCAAGTCCAGGACCAAGGAACCATGACAAGTAGAGGAAGAAAAACGATGGGAGGCAGCCGAGCCTGGAAAACACTGCCCATACCACCCTGGCAGATTCCACGGAGAGGTGTCAGGCCAGAAGGGGAGAGACAAGGCTGCGGCATTGTGCCTCAGCTCCCTCATCTGTCAGGTGGGTGTTGATATTCCGGCTAGGAGGACCGGACTAAAGGGGCTGTGAATACAAAGATGGGGGCCTTTATGGCAGGTGGTACCTGGCCCACAGCAAGTGCACAAAGCACTGGACACTAAGGGTTGTCACCAACACCACACAGTGGTCAGCACCTGGCCAGGGACGTGGAGGTCCGATAATGCTCCGAGTCCCACCAGGACCCAGCAGGACCCAGAACTCAGCAGGGCTGGGGTCAGAGAAAGTAGACAGGTAAAAACAAACAAACAAACAAACAAATCACTTTGGGCCGGGGATTTAGCTCAGTGGTTCCTCTGCCTGCCTCAAAAGTGCAAGGACCCGAGTTTGATCTCAGGTACCAAAAAAAAAAGAAAGAAAGTAGACAGGTGACACAGACAGGGGGCGCTCTCACCCTTGCAAGGGAAAGCGCCAGTAGGAGCCAACCCAGGACAACTGTGGGAGGAAGTAGTGGGGGCAGGAATCTGGGGATGGGGAAACTGAGGCCCAGAGAAGGGGAATGCTTATCTGAGGTCATGTGGAAAGCAGGGGGTGATGGAGGGGATTAGAGACATGGCACTTGGGTGGACAGCTGACTTGCATCACATGACAGGTCTACCCTGGGGCCAGGCCAGGCCTGAGACACAGGCAGGGCCA